AGATATATTCTTTATAGTAATGGCATTTTCATTTTCAGGTGTAAACATCTCAAATTCTGATTTTGTAAATGAGCAGTTGTAAAGTTGCAGCAAAGAAAAGTCTAACTGTACCAATTTAGTTAAGCTACATGTTTTTAAGGTTCATCTTTAAGTACAGAAAATGTCAATGCACTTCACTCGATTCATTCTTTGCTGCAGCTTAAAATTCATGCAAGGAGTTATACTGTTTTATTTTTTAAATATTTCGAAAACGTTAAATAGCATTGCTTTGAGTGTCAATTCCAATAAACGAGCCAGCTATCCGAGCTATCAATGGTAGCGCATATATCGTCAAAATGTTCTCTCAAATAAGAAAAATCTCGTTCAAAGAAGTGCTATTTTAATAGGGAGCTTAAGCTACACGTATTTTAGAAATGGCGAACGTAAACGTGAAATGACCCCTGGGAACTATAGTTCCGTTCTGGATAGACTTATACAAAGACCCAATTAAAACAGTTTAACTGATACCTTTGTAATCATTCATGCAAATAAAGACGTTGAAGACAAGAACTAGTTCTCCGAAGATTGCAATTTTACACGTTTACGTACACTTCTCTTTTAACTAATCGTACGCAAATGGGGCATTGTTGTTGCTCGAGATGGCTATATTTGATAGAATATAATTCCAGATACGATAAAAAACGAATGACCATGGTAATAATTAAATGACTCGCCTATATTATTATATTCATCCATGTTGTCTTGCTCTGAAAGATAAATGACCAATGTAGCGCTTTATGAACAATATGGTTATTCTTTTTAACTCTTACATAATCATGTATATCGTGTAAAACCGTGACGTAATCGGTCGTATGTGACCAGAACGGTGGAAATAAGATCATTAAATGTAGACACTATCACAGAAAGAATAGTTGCCTCGTTGCAAGTCAAACATTGCCTCGTTTCATTGTTACAAAATGTAGACAGGTGCCTCGTTTCCTAAGTGAGAGAATTGAAATGTGAATATCTCAGCAATGTCTGTATTGATTTCTAATTTGCAATCATATTATAAAACCGGAACTTATAAACTATTTACTTGCCAAATATTAAGTTTTAATTTGAAGGATAAAAGCACGAAAATTGTAAAAAACAAAAATCTTACCGAATGAAATTTTTTTCACGCGCCGCCATTTTGATACGAGGCTAAACCTCCCTCGTTTCCAGTTCATCCCCAGTGAATAGGCATCACATCAAATTGAAATAACTGTCGATGCTGTAAATGCACATATGAAAAGAAACATACAATCTCGGTGTGCATGAACGTTTATATGCATCATTGATCATCAATGAAAGATATTTTGACAATATAAAATCGTAATTTTTAGCGGGAGATATAATTCTCAACTTTAATTTACACTCCAGCCACTAATGCGCGTTCCATTCAATTTAAAACACACGAACTGAGTAGTTTAAGATGTACCACTTGAACATAATACAAAATTGTATATGATTCTCCTCTTTGTCCACAAGAATTTAACCTTACAAAAATTGGGGTACAAAAATTATTAATTTTTAGGAAGATCGTTTTTTCCTAAATCAGAGCCACTTGTTTTGACCTTATCACTTCGTCCAGGGTGCAATTATTCAAAGAGCATTATAACATAGTTGTTAGAATAATCCTAAATAGGTGTAATAAATAGCTATTTATTGGCATTCAACTTTCATTGATTTAATGCTCATTTAACAAATAGGTTAACTTTTATCAAAATGCATAATTATTAGACCAAAGTTAACCAATTATTACATGAGAATTGCCATTTCTTTTTACTTGGGATACCATCTGACTGGGTTTCAATCTTAGGTAAGAGCTACAAACTATCAATTTTATATCAACTGCCCATTGCTTTTTGAAAATAATACACTAAGATAGATATTGTTGAAATCTCCATCTTAACAAGTTGTCTAAGTCAGACTTGTGCACCTGTCTCTTCTAAAATACAGCTTACTATTACTTTTCCCTTGGCCTATGCCTGACATCGTAGATCTGGACGACATTTCAGAATCGGGGAGTAGATAACTGGGCCAGACTTATCCGTCCTGGTACGGGATAAGGCCAGACGAGTTTTAACGCCGGAATGTGTTAAAGAGTCGCAACCTGATTAAAAGATGGCACTATAGTATATATTCAGGATGGGTCTCTACAGGTGTCCACTTGACTCCCTACACTTAGTCTATGGACCACCGACTTTTTGCTAACTAGTGGTACCACCTGATATTTTCCCCTTATGCCGAACTCTGGGTGTGATTGATTACCCGAAAGTGAAAATCACTTTTCAAACTTTCCTCCATTTCCGGCTACGAGATCTCGTTAAGTCTCGCGAACTCCATATTGAATATCTAGGGAAGCCGAAATTAAAATATTTTGCTGATTTCTAGTTGATCCAGCGATGTCTACGAAGACGATCTCGTTGCTGTTTATCAATTTGGGAGGGGAGATGATGTACATCTTAGATCAGAGACTCCGGGCTCAAAATATACCACAGGACAAGGCAAAAAAAGGTATGAACGTCACAATGCTACACTCTGTTAAGCATGATAAAAGGCAAGAAGTTTAGTTAGAAATAAAAGAGTTATCTAATGAATGGGACCCTTACATGGCTCCTAAAAGGTAGAAGACACTAAATGGTGTAACACTATAAGCTGAATTTTGTCCACATAGAGCATGTGCACAATACTAAAGACATGTAAAATTGAACTTGAATTGCAAGGCCTGTCATAGTCCAACAACATTAGACCTAGCCTGGGCCTCGTTTCTTATCTGACATGGCCCCGGCTAGGTCTAACCTCCATGATCATTTTGCCCTTGATGCGTTAATTTAATCGTTCAGCAGGTTTCGACAAGCGGAACTAATTAAGCCCTGAAACCATGGTCATATTACACAAAGAATGTGATTCAAGCATGCATACATACCTTATGAATACATACACACCATCCCGTATCCCCTTTAGACCCTATTGATGCATAATTACGGAAATATTGGAGACAGGTTTGGAATATAACGAAAATGTCGGTCAGTTTCGGTGACATCGAAATTGCAAATCGTATCAGAAATTAACCGTCATCGCGGCACTGCATTTACAAACAATAGGTTTGCAATTAATAACTATTTTGCGTGTATACACGCGCTATATAAATCAATCAAAGATACCTGTTATCCTCAAAAATCTTTTAATGCGAGTAATCGCGATAATAATTATCAATCTATTTGACAACAATTTCGTTTCGCTAGTAGTTTAATTTTACGATCCGGGACAGTCGGACGAACAGACACAATGACGGACATGCGGAAATGTCATTTTAGAGATCGGTAAGTGTAGCCTCATTTTACGAGTATAAATGAACATTTAACGCAATAATATTGTGTTAAATCGCTTGATGTTATGTGTTTTTATATTATTGTCAAGTATCAATTGCACGTTATCGCGGCAAAATGGTTTCGATGGATCCAGAACTTGCATCAAAGGAAAGAATAGCAAAGAGGTTAAACTCAATAACGGCCCCAAGAAAATTCCTAATAATGGTAGTAATTTTGATTTTGACATGATTAAGGTAGTTAAGCCTAAACACCATGATCATAGTATTAAACTGTTTAATATGACGATCATTTAAAATTACATACATATTTACTAGTCATTGCAATACATTATAACGGTCATAGTAGGACTAAGCCTAAATTTCTGCATCGCCACCCTCGTACCTGGCCTTGCAATACTATATTACATTGTCACGGTCATACCAGGCTTTGCAATCATAATACATTGTCACGGTCATGCCAGGTTTTCAAATACATATTGTCACGGTCACTTATAGCAATTTAAATTTCTACATTACCACTCTCATACCTGAACTTGGAATACTATATCACATTGCCACGGCGGTCATACCAAGCCTTGTGATACTATATTACATTGTCACAGCCATGCCAGGCCTTGTAGTACTATATTACATTGCCACGGTCATGCCAGGCTTTGCAATACACATTGTCATGGTTATAGCAGTCCAAATCGTAAATTTCTACATTACCACCCTCATACCTGAACTTGTCATGCCAGGCCTTGCAGAACTATATAACATTGTCACGGTCATGCCAGGCCTTGCAGTACTACAGTATATTGCATTGTCACGGTCATGCCATTGCAATATAATACAGCATTGTCGCGGTTATACCAGGCTTTCACAATAACATTACCACGGTCATGGCAGGATCCTTGCGCTACTTAAAAACACTGAATAACATGGTGACGGTTACGCCAGGCGTTAGTCTTGCAACAGTTAGGGTCTCATTTCAGTTCAGAGTCAGACAAACAATTCATACACAGTTCCATGAAGATTTTCAAAGTCAGTAAGACAACTTTTCAGTATTTTGATATACTCAGTAAGGGAACATGGGGCAAGCGGCCCTGTGGGGCAAAGTGGCCCATCGAAATATCTTTTGAATTATAAAAAGATGGTTCTTCAAAAGTCACATACAATCGAATTTTGAAATATCCGCCATCTTCTCGACCGCCCATTTTTAACCTAGCAGGGTTTCGTTTTGTAAGAGATAGTTCTACTTTTCACTCTCGTATTTGCAAATTAGCCTTCCCACGAGAATCTCTAAGAAATCCGGCAAGAATAGAATATCGTTTTGATTTAACATTTTACATAGATTATGCATATATTCTTTATTTGTAAAAATTTAGAGCTACAAATATCAGGCAAATTAAAATGTGGTCTATTTGAAAATTCACATGTCTTTTGGGCAAAACGGCCCACAAAGTATAAAACATACAAAAATCGTATATACAAGAACAACTGATTTTCAAATATAATGATTTTAACATTAGGTTTGTACCTTATTTCACTCTGACATATATCGAATGACTATAATTATGGTAGCGATTAAGAATACTTTATCTGTCAAAGGTTTGAACGTCTGAGATAAGATGTGTGTGGACGAGTTTTGTAATTGATTAATTTTGCTTTTAAAATCCATGTAACAGAGGGTGGGCCATTTTGCCCCACCCTCTCTAACACACCATTGAAAAATCAAAGAAGATAGTCCTAGGCAAGTATAAAACACTCGAAAAATGTAAACCACAACCCATTAATAAAGTGGAACATCAAAGTGCGTGATGATTGACAAATAAGAAATTACCCAATACAGAACAAAATTAAATTTTTAGGGCCGCTATGCCCAAGGTTCCCTTAAATCTAAGGTTAGCCAAAGTTTCAGGCTAGTTGGTTATATCTGGAAAAGATCACTCGGAGAATGAAATGCAGGCCTGTCAACTTGGGAACACCTAACATGAGTGACTTGGAAATGTTGAACACCTCCCCTCAAAATGTGGAGACCTTGGTCCAAATCTGGACACCTTGATCCAAATTTTGAATACCTTGGTTTAAATTTTATTACATCTTGCCAAATTTTGAACACCTCAAATTTTTCGCGCTCGCTACACTCGCGTTTAAAACATCCGTCAACGGTGGGGGGGGTAGGGACGAAAATTTTCGAACGGAATGCGTGACATATACGTAATTTGCGTGAAAAGTCCGAACGAAATGCGTACATTTTTTCCGGCGTTCATATTTTTGCTGTGTAGACGATCTTTTTTATAAATTTTTCTACAGAAATATTTTTGCTTGACAATTACCAGGTAAAATGCGTATTTGCGTGACATTTTCTGTCACGCAAAAATAACTGGCGTGAATTCAAATTCTTCAGCAAAAGCGTGACAAATAAGTAAATTGCGGGACAGTTGACAGGCCTGGAAATGGCAGTCCAGCGATGTGCAAGTCAGCTGTATGTCATCACAATAGGCGGTATATATCACCGACTGATATGCTCCCCTTTGATGCAATTATCAACGTTTTTGGTCTAGGCCTCTGAATTGCCAACAATGAAATTAGATCTTGCATTTGCACCATTTTTATGAATAATTTGAATAAATGAACAAACATTGTATTTTAAATAGATCTACAAGCAGGGTGACACTATAAGCTGTTTAGTTTTTTATGGGTTTGATGCAAGGTAGACTATGTATTGACTTCAATATGATGAGGAGGCAATATTGCAGTACTCCTAGTAGTACCACCTGCCTGTTGTCTTAACATTGACATGATAATTGGCACAAGATCATGAGATTAATAGGCAGGTGTACTTTAAATTAAGTCACTTATATTCAATATTTTTCATCATAGAATCTTTGTTTTTATGTTTATTTTTTTTATAGCTTTAGAAATACTTATAAATTAGAAATTAATGGAACTAAACACAATCGTACCTATTACCTAGTACTGTGGTCATTATTCAAAAGTGACAATGTTCTTGAAAAACATGCGATTTCAATATTGTGCAATTTTTAACGTATACATAAAAATATTGGGTGAGACTTGAGATAATGTATGCGGCGCCAGTCAAAATTGAAACTTCTGATTGGGTTCGAAGCCGAGATGCCCGGATATGCCCCATCAAAAGCCGGAATTCACGTGATTTTTCACGGAGAAGGGGCGGAGTTTAAGCGAGATCCATCGAGACTTCTCCATTTAAGAAAAGTGTCAGTCCACTTATAACTCCGCCTTTTTGCCCTTAAATGGAGAATGCCATTTTCGAAGGGGTCCTTTTTAGGGGAGATTTTCATCGGTTTTTTCCTAGATCTTTGACGTTTATGGAGTTATTTCAACCATTCTTTGTCAGTGTACACCTCTCGCCAATATTCATCTTAATAACCTATTGCCGAATAATTTATTTTTTGATTTGACAAAAATTCGATCAGAAACTACCTACATGTATTACGAAAAACTCCAGTGATATATTTTAGCTAGGCTTGGTCCAAGGGGCCCGTCTTAAGTGCGTGTTGAATTAAATGGAGCCCGGGTGTCGTAGTGATGAGTTTGAATTATGTCGATTATTCGATTGTTATATATAAATAAACATTGATCTTCGGCGAAGATAAAGTAAGAACAACATATATATCCGAGAAACATGTTGGTAAGTACAGTATTGCATTTATAATGGCAGAAAATCAAATTGAATCGAAATCGAATTTTCAACTTTTTCAATCTTTTTTCGTTCGATTATTTTGATTTTCAATTTGATTTTTACATTCTATCTTCTTCGTCCTGCGGGACTATACTAGGCATAGGCCCTGAACATGTATAACATTGAGTCAAATTCACTTATAGAACATGCTGTAAGCTTTATTTCTTTACAATTTTACGGGCCTATGCCTGGGCTATGATTCTAGGCCTAGACTACTAGATCTATAGGACTTAGACTAGCCTAAAGCTAGAGCCTTAGATCTAGCTCTTTCAGAGGCTGTGACTGATCTGTTAGAACAGCCTTTAGAGCCCGCTATCAACCGCTTCAAAATTGTGTTAGTGTCCTCCTTGCTAAAATAAAAAAAATTAAAAGGTGCTTCTGTGCCGAACAGCAAATTCTCATTATACATTGAGAAGATACTCTTTACCAAGAAACCCAAAATGGAAGTTTTGACGGAAAGACATGACGTACAAGTCA